TATTTCCACCCGAGCCTTCTGTCAAAGCCTGGTAAATTCTGTGGGACCAGTCGTGTGTGGCACGCACAAATGGACTGTTTAGTTGTGTCGTACGCTGCGTCCAACCCCCCCCCCTGGTGGTTTTCACTGTGTCTTGCCATCAGGGCCTGGCGGGTGGAGGAAGAGGAGAGTGCAATAGATACAGTCTAAGTCTGCCTCACTATAAATTAATTCACACACAAGCCACCGGTGCTGCTCCCCCCTCTGTGGGGCATGCGGTGAACGTCGTCGTTCGCGACAGTCGGATCGTCATTCATTTTGACAAAGCTGGGTGTTCCTTTATCCCCTAGGTGACACTTCTCATTCAGAATTGTGCGCCAGCTTCCTTGAGCTAGTTCTCCACACGCAGTCTAACTTAGGTAGCATTGTTTTACGAGGCATGTTTCGCACGGCAAACGACCCTAAATACACCTGGTGACTAGGGTGCGTTGGTGCCTATCAACGTTGAAATTCGTGGCAACTCACTGCATCAATCGTAAAACAGAAAATATTTTCCATGTCAATTTCTTTTTAACAGAACTACTTATTGCAAAAAGGTAAAGTGCATGCTTTTATTCAGCTACAGGTCTTGTATATATTATGATTACCAGACAGCCATCGATGCAATTAGTGCAAATCTTCATTTATATGCAAAAACTGCCGATTTTTGTCATTTTGAGTACGAAGGACGAACAAATGCAACACAACGTATTCATATTTCTTCATTACAGCAAATGGTTATTCTTCAGTGAAAGGAATAAAATCAATAACAGCTCAATTAAGAAAGCCCGTTGAATGGTTATTCACGAACATTGGCAAACGAACGTTTGACTTCAGTATTTCCCAGCTGGTGACTTTTATCCTATTTGCGAAAATATTATCGGACAAATACCATGTACCAGTTGCGATACAGACTATTGTAATCCAACCCGCACTTTAGGAACTTTAGCTAGGCGTGAGGAAGCAGCCCATGGACACAATGGATCCATAACGCACATTTGCACGGGAAAAATGCGCATTGGTAGCTCGAATTCCTGGAAACTGCACTCAGATGAGAGATGTATCTGGATGCAGTAACGTTTTGGATGCCAGGGACAGGGCGAAACGAGCGCAGCAAATTCTGATAGGGGAACGGGATGTAATAGACGCGTTGTGACCCAGGCCTCAGCTAATGGTAGAATAGTTTGTCCGGCCGGTTTAAAAATCAACTTTTTTTTTTAACAGATTGACCAGTCTAGAAGAGTGTAATAATGAACGTTTCGTTAACGAAGGGTCTTAGGAAAAATCGAGTTGTACTCTTGAACTATCAAGCTGGTTACAACACTTTGGCCGTTGATTCCGCCGATTTCCACTGCGTGCCTCAGCAAGCTGAAGGCAAGCAGGGTTACGTACGCGTAGATTAGTTTTAAATGGTAGTATACTTGTATTGTATCTACCGCACTCTCTCCCAACCAAATTTATTTATTGATCGCATCTTACCATCCTTCCTCTTT